CGTACACTATATGCAAACCTATATAAAATATAGTACGTATACAGAACAGAGTATGAAAACGTTCCATTTCTTCCTGAGAATATGCTCTGTAATTATGTTAATTCATATTTGAAATTAATATAAACAACTGGAGAGGAAAAAAAGACAATACCATTAAATCCAGCCCATGACACTCTTTTGTTTTAAAAGTTTCTTAAGCCATAGCTAGCCCTCTGTTAACTGCTCTTCAGTCACAAATCCTTTGTCACCATTTTGGGTAGTATAAACAGAATCCAGAGGATCAGTTATAATACTCATTGCCATTTTATGTTCCCTTTAACTTTACTAAAGACATATTATTTACTAGGCTTTAATTTAAAATTTAAAAATTTCCTTCTGCTTTTAGAACTAAAGATAAATAGAATTTAAAACCCTTTGGTATTTATATTGCAAAAATAGCAGAAGAATCCCCTTTATACAAGTGGTTACCAGTTATCTTCTCGCTAGAAAAGAGTTGTCCTTTTGCTGCTAAAATTTCAAGTTTTCCCAGAGAGCTGTGCCTTTCATAGTCTCAGATCTACTAGCCCTTATCTAAACTGTATTCTAAATTGCAAGAACACTTGCAGGCTCACCTTATATTTTATTATACTGTGTAGTTTAAACATGTTATACAACATCCATTTAATACTGACATAGCTTTTGAACAATACAAAAATGAAATTGATCAGAAACAAATGGAGATTCAAGGATCAAAGTAAGAGATGGTAAGCATAATGATTAAGGATTCAAGTTGGTTTTTTGGTGTTTTTTTTGGCCAAGGCAATGACCTTTGTCTATTTATTTAGCCTTGCTTTCTCATCTGCAAAACTGGCTATAATACTACCTACTTCAGGAAGTTGTTAAAAGGATACATGAAATAATGAAGTATTTAGTGTTGTGCGGGACACATGGTAGGTGCTCTATAATGTTGATGTTAACTTTTAATAATAAAGAATATATTTTTCTTGGTATATTATAGTTAATTTCTTTTTCTGGACTATTAGGTAGCAATAGATAATACTGTGTTTTAAAACAACATAATATCACAAATTCACTGAAGGAAAAAATTCACTTTTTACAAGGATATGGAAGGCATTGTGCTAAATGAAATAAGTTGGACAGAGAAAGACAAATACTCTACGATGTCACTTATATGTGGAATCTAAAAAATACAACAAACTAGTGTCGGCTGAAAAAAATACACAATCTAAAAGCTGAGAATTATGTTCTATTTGGCAGAGTTTCTGAGGACTCAAGCCCTAGAGGCAGCCTCTCAGATATCTCTGAGGGACTGCTCCGAAGAGGTAAGGGAGGGGCCAGGATATGCATGGGTTTTTGCAACAAAGACCAGGTAGTGGGAACATAAAAATATGTTAATTAAGAAAACCAGACATCTCAAGTTAATGAATTTAGTACTTTCCTATGTACGGGAAGATATAAGAGCCTCGGCTCATTGAAATCATTCTTTTGATATGCGCCTTAGCTATCTAAGGCCAGTATCCTGTTCTTTCCCATCCGAAGTCACCTCAGGGTGCACCTTTGAGGATGGCTGCAGTGGCTGAGGGCTTGGCAGTGGGCAGCCCATTTGTCTCCATTCTGAGTTCCCTCGGGGCTCACTGTTGGGGGGCAGCAGTAGTGGCTGTTGGCTTGGTGGCCTCAGCATCCTTTTTTTGCTGATATGGCAGGCAACATTTTTCATTCACACCAGTAAATGTAACAAAAAAGAAGCCAACTCACAGATAATATAGAACAAAGTAGTGGTTACCAGTGGAAGAGGGAGGGGCAGTATAGGGGTAGGGGAGTGGGAGGTACAAACTATTGGGTGTAAGATAGGCTTAAGGAGGTACTGTACAACAAGGGGAATATAGCCAATGTTCTGTAATAACTGTAAGTGGAAAGTAACCCTTAAAAATTGTATAAAAAAAGAAAAAGAAGTTCTAAACCCTACTTCAAGTTCAATAAATAAGTAAATAAATAAATAAAAATAAATAACTTCCTTGGAACTTTGCTGTAGTACCCTTAATGTGGTTTCCTGCAGTGGCTTGATGTATGATACAGTAATGAGTATAGAATTAGCATTTAAAGCCAGGCCATTTTATACCCCTTCTAATTGGCTTATTTAGCCAAGTGCCAAATTGCTACAGTATAAAGATTCTGGTACATTATCTCTAAAACGGGCAGCAAGGTTCTAATGGAGTTTCTTTTCTAAGTCTTTCTATTATTTTTTCCAAAATCTTTAATCTATTAAATCCTGATAGCTTTGCTGGTAACGTCAGTGTTTTGCTCATCTTTCGTATTCCTGGCAGACTTAGCACATAGCAGACATTTGGCAAACAAAATTACTCAAGAAGAGAAATCTGGAAAAATGATTTGCGACTTAATACAGTAGATTTAATTGGGGTTTTTTTGGTAAAAACACCTACAATGTAGTATTTCTGCCTTTCTTCCTTCTACTCCACTTTTAAGTGCTTCCAGTGCTTGAATAGGAGAGCTACTATTGCTCATTACCAGCGTGTTATATGAGGCCCTGAGTGTTGTAATGCACACATGTTGAGCCATTTTTGTATATCCATTACCTTCCTATTTATTTATACGTTGGACTCTTTTGAAATAAGCCCCAGTTTGTAGAAACCACAAAGCGTTCTTTTTAGCATACTGATTTACTAATTTTCAGATTATCATGCAATTTAAGTATCCTATATAGAAACCCTTCACATAAGCATTGTTTTCCACCCCCTTGAGATAAAGAGAAAATAAGAATGAAAATGAAACCACATATGGAAGGAAAAGAATAGTTAAAAGATTTAAATCTGCCCCAAATTGTTTTTCTTCTTGCCAAACAGTAGTAATTTGAACTGTAGCCAGATTTTGTAAAGTGCTGCCATTCTGTCTTTTCCCCCGTGGCTGCTGATGAGTATTTTCAAGAGAAATAAAAATAAAACCCCACACACACACACACAGAGACTGGGGTCCCAGGATGGGCTATATAATATGGGAGTGCAAAACGAAAATATGGAGCCCCTTGTTCAAAAACAACTAAGAATTCCAAAATGGCACCAGCAAAGCATAATGCTAAATGCAGGCCCTTGTGCACAGGTCACATGCCCATGAGGCTGGCTGGCCCTGTAAGGTTCCCTATTTCTGAGAGGTGGTCTTCCTGTTGGCACTTTGCTTAGCAGCTCTTCAGGGTAATTACCTTCATTGTATCTCTTGAGAGCACTGAAACTTGAATATCAGAGAGAGTAAAGAGATGTGAACTCTCCATCATGACCGTGCAGTGTGATTACTGGTCATTGTAAGATGGTCAGCAAGGCCATGGCATTAAGAATATGACATAATTCATCCCATGAGTAAGAGCTGAGCCCTTTGAGCTTATGGAAAGCAACAGGGGAGAATAAGCATTTATTTGGTGTCTTCTTTGGATAGGAACCATATCGGACTTTTTTTTTTATACATTATCCTGATTAGTCATGTAAACCATGTAAAGTAATCTTTATTACCCCATTTTCTACATGTGTAAACTAAACCTCAAGGATATAAAACAACTTGCTCACAGACACGCAGCAAGTAACTGGCAGTGTGGTGATGGCCTGCATATCTTCATACCAAGCCCATGTGCTTTGCATGCTGTCCACTGTCTGTCCTTAGGAGCTGATAGCCACAATAAAAGTGCAGCCGTGAAAAGCAAAGAGCAGGACTGCAAGAAAGGGGAGAAATTTAGCCTGGCAGTTTCTGTGGGGTGACGAAGCTGAGCCCAGCAAAGACTGAGGCCATGGACCATGTACAGAATGCAGCAAATAAAGAGTCCTGACCAGAAGGAGGGGACTCTCTCCCTTACAGTAGAGTAATGCAGTGGTCAAAGAACAAATGTAACATGTTGGAGATGAATACAAGGTGACACCTTGAGTGCTGCAAAATTGTAGCTCCTCCTACAGTAAAGGCAAGAAAACAAAAACAAAATTAAACAACCTCCAATGTTGGACAACCAGGCTTCAGTAAGTAAATGAGAGTCTGTGAAGCATCCAAGGGCCAGAACATTTTAGAACAGTATATTCCAAGCTTCATTCACTTATGTTCTACTTTCTTCATGATTTTACCATGTCTCAGTCTTAAGCATACTATTATGGATGTAACATACGTTAAATCTATTATTCTCTATCAGCATGAATAGATTTATACTAACTAAAGCACTAGCTTTCTGTCCTCAGTCAAGCGAGTCTACTAATTGTTAAAGCTCATTTGCTCTTCAGTTTATTCAACTCATATTAATTGCCTTAATATGTTCTAGGATCTGTCTACCAGGGGTAGGGGAGGAAGAGAAGTCAGAGATGAGTAGGACATGGTCCCTGCCTTAGAGAGCTTCAGAATGAAGTTATCATACAATTTCAGACTGTTCATAGAACATTGAGAAAGCAGGATTGAGGGAGTGCCAAACTTTGCCTGGAGGTAAGGGGGAGCTTGGAAAGGTAACCTTGAGCAGGAGAGTCTAGACAAATGAGTGGGAGGAGTTCACCGAGCAGATTTGGAAGATTCATCTTCCCTGGATTTTGGCTGGATTGTTTTCTAAACTTTTCTGATCATGAAGTAAAAACCATCAAGGTTTTTGAACTTATTGAATTCACTTCCATCTAACGGTTGGCATCAAGAAGTTTTCAGATTATTAAGATTGTTTAGAAATAATCATTTTATTTTAGGTCTGATGAATCAAATAATAGAAACAAAACATAACCATAACTTTCTTGAATATTTTGATATATAGTTCTTATATCCATAATTTAGAATATAGGTGTGCTTTATGTGTGGGTATTTCTTAACCTGAATACCTTTTTCATACAGACTTCATAGAATAAAATGCAAACTACTTTCTTCTACTGTTTTTTATTTTTCCTTGTAAAAAATGTTATAATAAAAAGTGATTTATATGTTACTTACAACATGTATTTACCATAATGTTTTTTTGCTTTTTGTTTTTTTGCTTTCAGTGTAAAACTCTTTCTGGAGTCTGTGACCACATCATATCCCTGTCATCAGATCCTCTAGTTTCGCAGTCTGCCCACCTTGAAGTGATTCAGCTGGCAAACATCAAACCAAGTGAAGGGCTGGTAAGAGATACCATGTTTATCAAAGCCACCACCCATCAACAGACAGCTAATGGTATGGGCAGAGCAATCCCCAAACATGAGAATCCATGAATTTTAACAAACTTTGAATGGTTTGGGGGTTTTTTTCCCTAGAGGAATTGAGGTAGTGGGAGTCAGTCATGATAAGAAGTTTTATAAAGGTAAATGAAAATGAAAGAGAATTTAAAATGGTGATTTCTGAATTATCCTGTTTACTTTGCTGAATAAATTAGCTTTAGTTACATTTTCACCCCCTACCAAAGTTCCTTAGGTTTAAAGGAAGTTTAAGTTACGAGTTTTATAATAAGAACCACAGTGTTACCTGCCCATGAAAATGAGTGTTTTGTTTATTTTGCTTTTGTTTGTTCCAGTTTTAATAGGTCTCTCTTCCCTTAGGTTGTGTAAGCTAAACAAACCTGATATTCTTTATAATTCTACTCTTTCTTTTAAGGGTGAGTAAGCAGGTGGATATTGCTAAAACTAGGCTAACATCTATGAGATGTATTTTTTATTATGTCATAATAAAGATAATCATCTTCTATATTTTGTTCACCTGATTAAAAATTGTATTGGTTCTAAATTTAACCCAGGGGAGAGCTTTTCCTTTAATGAGCCTCTAGAAAGAAAGCGTATAATATTAATATTAATGAGGGAGAGACAAAAAACAAGAAACTGGCTGTAGAATATCTTACCTACTACACAACTGTTACATGTTAGTTTGTTGCTACAGCGTTTCTACTTTCTCCCTAGAGGTGAATTTTCCAAGGATACTATTAATGATGTTTTAGAAAGTAGAAATCTTGAAAACTAGTGTTAACAACTTAATTCAGATAATATATTCTTAAAGATCTCTATGCAGGTTTAACTTTTTATGTGGCCTTTCTTCTTCAGCCTTATGTGTGTGTGTGTGTGTGTGTGCGCGCGTGTGCGCGTACGCGTGCGTGTGTGTGTGTGTGTGTGTGTATAACTGTTTCCGAGGGCAAAGCCTTTGTTGGTCACCAGTGAGTTTTTGGTTTGAAGCCCTCTATTCTATAGAGTGACTTTTCTCCTGTTACTTAACAAATTACTTTTGGGTAACTGTAGCTCCTTGTCTTTTTGTGGCTTTTATCTGTATTTTCCTGGAAAGATGGAACTCAGCATCTCAGACATAGCCAAAGTATGTCATCATTGTAACCTATAAGTGTTATATCTATGTTATATCTTTGATTACTTTAAAATTTTTATTTTAATGTTTATAAACTTATTTGAAGTAATATTTATGATTTAAATTCTTACTATTCTTTTTGGTCACATTTACAACGTCCAGTTTTATTTAAAGCATCTTTCCACCCATAGTATTAAAGATTTTCCTTTCAATATCTACCCTTTCAGTAGTTCTGAAGGAAAGAAATCTCTCTAAGCATGATTTGCAGAGTGGGAAATTATGAACTAATTAGATTAGGAGATAGAAAACCTGGATACAAATCACTTACATAAAATAGAGCTGTGAGTGTGATCTGGGGCAGGTGAGGGAGTAAATTTAACTTCCTTGGCCTTGATATTAACATCTGTAGAATGTTGGGGGTGGGAAGGGATGGACTAGATCCTCTTTAAAGCTCCCTCTAGCTCTGTGAGTTTGCAGTTCTGAGGATGGTATTGTTCTAAGAAAAGAGCCTGTTTTTTCCCCTCTAATGACCACTGAAATAATGGGGGGAAAATAACCATGTGAAGTGAGTCAACACATTGCTCATTAATGGACTAGATGAAAGCTTGATTTTCATTTTCAGTGAAGGTATAGCCCTGGACAGGTCTTTCATTTTTTAAATTTCAAGTACATAGAGCTGGGTCTGCTCTTTGAAATAGTCATGAACTTAAAATGCTAAGCACCAGATTCAGTTAGTCTGGAAGACAGCTGGTAGAGAAAAGAGAACAAGTGAGTGCCTACCATTTTCCAGGTATCATCCTCACAACTCTATAGAGTAGGTATCCTTACCTACTCACAGGTCCTTACCAGTTTGCCGTGTATGACATAGAGGTAATATACAGTAGAGGCAGGGTTTAAATCCAGGTAAATCTAAATGAGGTACAACTTAACAAAGTTTATTCCATTATCCCACATTTAAACTTGGGATTGTTAAAGGGAGGTATGAGACGTTTAGGAGGATGACTTTAAAACTAGAACTACTTAGAGAAATCCATTTTAAAGAACAATCAGCAACACTTCATTGGGAAAATAATTCCAAGGGAGGAAAAGGAAAGGCTAACATGTTGAATATTAATAAAAAGAGTTAAGTATAAAACCATTTCTTGTGATTCATGTTAAAGGGGAGATGACTAAATGGAAATTTTATATGAGTTACTCAAGGCATCGTTTTAAAAATCAGCCACCTTTAAGTAAGTTTAGTCAGTCACATTTGAAATAGATTTGAGGATTTTGGTAGCACTTAGCATGTGCTTAGCCATAGGAAGTGTTTAAATGAAGGAAAGAAATAGAAAGACGTGGGAGAATACCAAGCTTTAATGAAGTTTAATCAGCTTAAAACATCTGCAGACAGTCTTCTGGCTCTTTCAAAACAGAACATCTCACATAGGTAAAAGGTAACTGCTTTGTTCTTGCACTGATAAACTGGATAGATTGTTCATCAGCTTTCTACCTAATTAGTCAAATCTCCTAGAATGTCTTAGTTTTGACAGTCCTGAGCATTATAAGGAATGGTGGGAAATGTTCTTAGTAATGGTTAAAATATATCAAACTAGCTTCTAAAATGCTTTTAAACAACAATAATTAGCAGAAAGTTAAAGGAAGGAAAATGAGAGCTATTGGAACATATCAAAACTAGATCAGAGCCAAGAGAGGTTGAATAGAGAGGAAAGGGCTTGGGGAGCATCCTTGGGGGAGCCTCTTTGCCTCAGAGAGTTCTTTTGCTGTTTAGGCACTTGGACTATCTCCAAATATGCCTTCTTCCATTGCCTTGACTGTGAGGTGGCTTTGGCTCCCGTTGGTTAACCGACATTTGGAGACGGTGAAGCAAATGTCATTTTGGCAAGCTGAACAGAAGAGAGGGAGCTGTTGGAGTCAGCTCCAGAATTAATTAATTGGTTTAAAAAAATGCAAGAAGGAAGAATGAAGATTTTGATGAAATGGAAGACCAGATTTATCTCAGTTCCAGAAAAAGAGCCATTTGAATTACATGTCCTCCTGCTGTTTGACCCTTTCTCAGAGGTGACCAAGTGATCAGATGTATTTCTGTGGACTCTTCATTATTCAGAAGATGATTAGTTTGAAACTCATCCAAGCAACTTGTTTCTTCTCTTACTTTCTTTTGGTTCCTGACTTTGGGCCATTTTTCTCATTAGTGCTACCAGAGGGAGATAAAAAAGCTGAAGAAGTCAGTCTTGATTATTAAAAGCAGTTACAACTAATGGTTTATTGAGGTTAGAAATGAAAATACTGCGTAAAACAAAATACCTTCAGTCTTTGTGGCATTTTAAAGATGTGCTTTATTTCTATTTTATTGCTCATAGCTATGAAGTTGCTAGAACTGAACTCTGTATACATAGCTCTATCCTTCTTTACTTAAGCATTTAAAAAATATTTTTGTTCATCTGAAAAAAATTAGCTTTAGCATAAATTACATAACATTTAATTATATATAAATAATGATGAAATCCTCTTCCTATAACTAATAGATACTTGCTTTATCTTACAATTGCCATTTTAAAAGTTCCTGGTATGTGCAGTAATTACATAGGAATTTTATTTCATTAGTCATAACTAGATTATCTTCATGAGTTCTTATGATCTCAATGAATATAATGACTTTTCTAAACATTTATCTTAGGAGACTAGACTTTCTCTATGACCCAATCATTTAAGAAATTATATAGAGCTCTTGTCCAACACCTTAATTCATAATCAGTAATGCACAGTGTTGAAAGAAGTGTGGAGAATGATATAATAAGCTTTTGCTTATAATTGTCAGAAGAGATGGGTGATTTAAATAAATTTGTAAAATATCAAACCCAGTTACTCTTTATAACCGCTTTGCACGTAGTATATGTGTGCTAGAGAGGTCTTAGTCTTTTTAGAATAGATGTTAAACAGTGAATGTTTGACTCAATATCTAGTTTCCAAATATTATGTTCTAATAAGAAAAGTGAAGGTGTACAACGCTCTTGTTAATAAATCTGTAAATTAGGAGCCTCATGGTAGAGAGTGTGGTTAGGAGTCAGATTTCCTGGGCTTGAAACCTGGCTTCACCTCCTTTGGCAGACTCCTCAGTTTCCTTATTTCTGAAACAGAGATAATGACAGTTTGTACCACACAGGCTATTGTGAAATAAATGTCAAACACTTAAAACAGTCCTTAGCACAATAGAATTCACAGATAAATTAACATCTTTTAAAATTACATTCATTTTGTTTCACATCAGAGATCCAGGCTCAGCCATTTTTCTAATTGGTACCAACATCTTAGACATATGACATTACTAAAATGACTTTTCAGAATTAAAACCTACTCAATGACTTCTTAATAGTTGCATGCCATGAACTTACTGCTTCTTGTTTTTATTTGTTACTTATTTTCAGTGAAAACACATGTATATTCAGGTATAGAAATATATAATTGACATAAAGTTATAGGAAATTAGCATAGTAATTGTCTACTTCATATAATTGTTAAAACATATGCTTTTTCCGAAATGATTGTTGTTAGTTATTAAGTCCCTTATGTTTCAGACTTCAACTTTATTAAAATTAGTACTTTTTAATTTTTGAAGTCAATATTTTGAGATGCAAAGCACTTTTGATGTAAAACTCAGTTAATTTTTACCTGAAGAGAATTTAAAGTAATAGAATCGTCCTTAGACAGGAAAAAAGTCCATTCACAGAATCATCCATTTTTTTTCTGATTTACTTAAGTGAAAATATTTCAATATTTAAAATGTGAATACTTTCTTGTGATATTTTTTCTTTTAAGGTCCTGTCACTATGCATAATTTAAAGCTTTCATTTGCTCTTAAAGCTTGCACAATTTGAAGGTTTCTGGATAATCTTTAAACTTTAATGAAGCTTTCTCTAAAATCGCTTTATTTAAATGGAAATGGACTCTCACCTTCTTTGTTGGGAGGAGGGGTTGCCACACATTACCCCCGAATTATTTTTTTTTAATTTTTGTTTAGAATTTAAAAAAATTTTGTGGAGGCCACACTGTGAGGCTTGTAGGATCTTAGTTCCCTGACCAGGGATCAAGCCCGGGCCCTCAGCAGTGAGCACACAGAGCCCTAACCACTGGACCGCCAGGGAATTCCACCTCTTAATGATTGATATAGAGATGATTGCATGTAATTATTAAAACTGCATCATTAAGAAATTAAGGCAGAAAATGTAGGATACCACAAAAGAGGGACAGAAAAAATTTTTTACATAAACAATATTTTATCATCCTTCTGTCTCCAGTAGTTCTGTAGTGGCTCTGGAGAAACCTACTTTTTATTTTGTAATATGAATCAAGTATAATAAGCTAATAACATCCCAATATTTGAATTTCCCATTGTAACTTTTATTTTGCCACAGAACATGTAGTATGGATTTTGAGGGGAGTGAGGTGTGTTCTTCCCTCAGGATATTGAATTACCATGCTGCATTTTGTAAGTTTCATAGGCAATTAATTCACTTTTCAAGAAATCATTTGATTATGCTGAGTACAGGCTTCTTCAGGCAAACTTTAGAAGCCAAAACATTCAGAGAGGAATTTCTTACCAGTTTAAAGACAGCCTTATTGGATCATGGATTCATCCCTGGGGCAATGGCAATTCTAATTTGATAGGGCTTTTTTTTTTTTTTTTTGTAAATGAGGTTATAATATACTTGAAAATATTTCAGTTGCTTCACTTATTTTTCTATGCTGTCTTTTTCTTAGGGTATGTATATTAAATCAACATATGATGGCCTCCATGTAATTACTGGAACTACAGAAAATGTAAGTATTCTAACATTTCATATTTTGGTGTGTGTTTTTCCTTTTATTGTTAAACAACTTATGTAACTCACATAATTGAGGTTGACTTCTGAGGACATGACAGATTAGGGTATAAAATTAAAAAGACATATTTAGTTAGTAAGTGCTTTTTTGGGGAGAATTTCAGTCATTTTAGTTAGTTTAGAATAGCTGTTTACCTGAAGTAAATCGGATGTTTTTTGTTCACAGCCAGAGATTTGTCTTTGTTAAGTATTTTCTGATTCATGACAAGTTATTGTGACATCTAAAAGAATCCACTTCCATCTGTCACACAGTTTAGTTTTATTAGGAAACTTAACTCATGTAAGAAAGAAACATCAGATAAGTCAGGCTTTCTGAATACTTGAAGTATAATTGAACTTAATTCAGTGGAGGGGCAGCATGGTATAGATCAGTGTGTTTTCACAGTGAGGTCCGTCCCTGGACCAGAAGCATCAGCTTCCCTTGGGAATGCCCCACCCCAAACCCACTGAATTAGCTCTGGAGACCAGCCTGTTTCTTAATAAGAGATTCTGTTTTAACAGGTGGTTCTGAGACATGCTCCAGTTTGAGAACCACTGCAAGCAGTGGGTCAGAGTCCCTAGGCCTAGGCCCTACACCCAATTTTGCATTTTAATGGCAGTGTAATATTTGGCAAGTCATTTACCCTATCATTGCTTTAATTTCCTCAACTGTAAATTGGAAATAATATATCAAATAATATATCATCTGCACTACATACCTCACTAGGTTGTTGTGAAAATCAAATAAGCTAATAAATATGAAATACTATGCTATAAAGAAAGAGCTACAGAAATGTGAAGTGATTGTGTTGGACATTAACACGATCAGTGTAATAGATTCGAATTGCATAGTAAGTCATTTTTTCTGCATTTGGTTGTCCCAGATTTCCATCCCACTCTCTTAAGCAGGTTCTGAGCTTTGAAATTTTTTCTTTTAGAAATTCTGACAAGTTGCGTGTTTATACCATGTTCCTTCAAAGAAGGCTGAGGTGGAATTAGTTAATCTCAAGTTATTATTGTTCTCAACATTTTACCAGCATTTTCTTTTAAAAAAGACAACATTCTTTTCACCTGATTCACCTATTACTTTAATCATTTATTGATTTTTTTTCCCCCTCCGCTTCACTTAGTTTCTTGTGAATGGTGAAACATAATATACATTGCAGTTGGATTGTTTTACTGGCTTCACATTGATATTAAATAAGGGAGTTATATGGGATCAAGAATATCAGTTATATGCATATTGTCAACTATTTAAAATTTTTAAATGCAGTGAGATGCTGCATAAACTATGCTCTTGTCGCGGATTGATCATTCTCATTGGTGTGTACATTCCCCTGATACTTTGTTTATTCATTTGTTCATTTAACAAACCTCTGCCTCATGTCTGCTGTGTTCCAGGCTTAGGACTAGGTATTGAAACAATTTTTAAGTTAAAGTAGCTTGCTGCCCCTAAGGAGTAAAAGTAGGGGTTTATCTATGTAAACAGGTAGTGAAATTTGCATAGATAGACAAAGGAAAAAATAGTAAATATTGCCAAGTGAAATCAGGGAAGGAATCACAGAATTGGTCATTTTGAACTAACTGTATCTTGAAGAATTGATAGGAACATATCTCTGTATGTTGTATGGAGTCTGTAAAAAAAACTTGAGCGCTATATGCATTGCTTATATTACTCAGTAATATTTGATAAATGGATGAGTGACCAAAGAAAGATTAATTCTATGAGTAGTTCAGATATAAACCATATATTAAGAGTTATCATTTAATTCTTTTTTCTTGAAAATATTTTATTATTTTTGGTACCCTCAGTCATTTATCATTAGATCTGTGTTGAGTCTTAGCAAAGCTGCTCACTAAGTGGGTAAGTTGTTTTGCTTTGCTGTGCCCTAGTTTCTTAGTTTTCTCCTATGTAAAATGAGGGGTTTGAATAAAATAGCTCTTTTAACACTGAAAGTCTATAGTTTGTATGAATTACTTCCTTTTTTACTCATCTGTGCAAAAAGTTGTTTCAGTTTCTTTGAATTTTATGTACCAACTATCATTTTCTTTTACATCATGACTTAGAGCCATTAGCTTGATTTTTTTTTTCATACTGTCCTTTTAAAAGATCAATTGTGAGCCAAAAGCACAGGAGCTGACTCTATAGTTACAGTTCGGTTTAGGAACTTTTCAGAAATGTTACATGGTACTTGTTTGATTTGGTAGTTGCTGTAAAATAAATACTTGTTATGACACTATTCTTAGGGTTGGGTTCACATCCTAGATGAACTACCCTCTTAATTGTATGCTTGTGTTATTACTTCAGTAACTGGAATTCCCTGAGATACCATCTAATCTCGGTTTCCAGCCTCTGGCAAATAATTTTATTGGGAATTTTTTAATTCGTTAACTTGATTGTTTTAAGACTTATTTATTTTGGAAATAATTGGAAATTGGAAATGAATAAAAACTAAAGGAACTGGAAAGCACTTTTAAAGAAAATCCTATTCCAGTGTCTCAAAAGTAGCATTTTACTATGCAGATTGCATCACCATATCATTCTTCTTTACCTTTCAGTAGATACGAATGAGTAATATTACAGTATTTATAGTTGTGTTTGATAACTTAACACACATATGAATACACGAATATATTTTTTCATAAAAACACATTTTCTGTATATTCAAAAGTCCATATGCATATTATCATTAAAACATCTAATAATATGCATAATCAATAATCGATAGTCACTAGAGGGAAAATAAAGAATAGAATTTTAAATTCATTATCCATACCTACAATATTATAAAATTTCTGTCTTAAATCTCATTTTAGTTTCCTAAAGACTTCATAAAACTTGTCAACATTAGCTTACCAAAGTTGTTTTTTGCTTGTTTTTGTTTTTAATGTCTTTGGGGAGTAAAGGAAAAAAATGATAAAATTGTTACATCCTGTAGAAATGCTGGCATTTTAGTTTATTTAATGTGATTTTATTTGCCTATACGTTACAGTGTATGAAACATAAGAAATAGGGTTCTCTTGTAGTTAGATACTTAGAGAGAGAACGTTATATAATATAACTTTGAACTAGTGGCAATCCATCTTTTAATTTGCTTTTCTCATTTATTCAGGATTGATGGTATTAATGATGAAATAAATTAGCAATTTCATCGTTAGTTGACAAAGCTTTGATGCTGATCATAAGCATGTACTTGAAAATATTTGTTTGCTGACGTTAATGTGAATTATTTGTATTAAATGAAAAAGATCAATGTTTAAAAGATAATGTTTTAACATATATATTTTTGAACCAGTTGCCCAATAGAGCCTGAGAGGGTTGTCACTTTAAAGTGTGCAGTTATCATTTTCCCTTAATGCTGTCAGAAACATATTGGTCTTTTACAACATAAATACCTATATATTGTTTTACATTCCTGCTTTCTGTCATTAGTTATACATAGAATACAAATAGTATATCAAATATTAGTAACCATTTTTGCTAGTTTATTTTCTTGAAGATTATAATTAACTCTTGATCTAATTTAAAAGGGTGAACTTACTGTAGTGTTTCCATAGAGGAGAAATGACTGATAAAATTTATGCTCTTTATCATTTCCTTTATGTTAAATTTAGTCACCTGCAGATCGGTGCAAGAAAATCCATGCTGGTGATGAAGTGATTCAAGTTAATCATCAGACTGTGGTATGTATAATTACCTTACAAGTCAGTGGGAGGCACTAATATAAAGATTGCCTAAAGCTTTGAAAGAATACCAGTGGAATGAAAGGCCTGTTTGTGTACAAAATAATTGAATAGCCTTTTAAAAAATAACTGACTATTTTTCTTAATTATCTGAAGAAATGTAAGGCATAGTTTTAAACGAACATGAGGAAATATTGGTGGTGGCTGAGTTTAGATGTACATTTCTATATGGACAGGTGCAGGATAATATTACCCTATGAACTGGGGTGATCATTTTGGAATAGAAATTAAAGTGACAGTGCATACAAATTCAACATTTTCTTGATATAACTTTTAAGTTTCATTTTATAAATTATCAAATTACCTAGTAGATATGTTTTGTAACAGCATACATTGATTCATCTACTTTAACACTGATTTGTTCATTAAAGTGTCTGGCAGATTGGTTATTTTAATGTCAGTTTTTAAATTTTAAATTGGAATAGCTGAATTGGCTTTTCATTTCCCAAAAGAGGACTATAGTTTAAGTTTTCAAACTATTGGCACTTAACTAAATAAGTTCATAAAATTTTTTTGCTCTATGAACCTCACAACTCCCTTTCTAGCTAAGAATGACAGTGGCATTCTGTGCCTATGGTAGATTTTCAAGGGCAATTTTTCTTAATCTTAGATTGAGAAAATGAACATCATCTGATTCTCATTTTGGACTATTTTCTGTCTCAGTTGACCTATCTCTGCCAAAATAAAGTATAAAGTTTTTTTTAAAATGAAGTTAAAATTTAAATAATCTGATTATTGATTAATAATCCTCATTTTAAAAGAAAGTGTTTTTTTTTTCCTGGTAAATATTCTGCTTATGGCTCACTAACTCTTCAGAGTGAGTAATTATTTCCTGTTGTACCTTTAAACTAAATTTGGTTTTGCATGTTCTAGTCATAGAAGAAAGGCTGTATTTTGGGGGTAAGAAGACTCATGTGAAAAGTCTGATCTTTCTCGGTGATTCTGATATTAAGGCAGACGCTATTTCAATTTTGGTTTTGAATAAACTGAGAAGTTTGTCATATTTTGGAGAGGCTCCTGAACACTGATAATTAAAGTTCTGATGTTTCTTCAATGAGTTCGTTATCTAAGTGAATAAAAGTTAATGAAAGTTTGGAAAATTAAATGTGTGGGTGTAAAGTTAATACTAATTATTGTTAGTTAATACTAATTAATGGAGACTATTGGTAATCGACAGAGCCTGTCTACACTATGACAGTTTTGATGATAAGTTCTCATTACTAGAAACTATACAAAGCGATTGTCTTGAGTAAAGTTTCTTGTCCCCTAGGATGAGTATTTGGGGCAGTGGGATAAAGCAGCTGCTTCTTCTAATGTTCATGCTGCCTCCATTTCTACAATGTGACCTTAACAAATATGACATCTGTTGGATAGTTGGGCCTATTTCCAATTGGTCAATTCTAAGAGGATAGAGATTAGTCTCTAATGAAAAATTGTTAAAATGATACTCTTTGTGGAGCAAAGATTCTCATGTCTATTGTATATGAAAGTCTTTAAAAGACTTCAAGTGAACTAATAAAATCTCTATGGATTGGTGATATTTATATACTGTGAGAATGTGTCAACACATCTTTGCATCACAGGAATATTCTAAAATATTAAAAACTACACAGAATGATGGTTGGGAGAACTTGCTTTCAGTTTTTGCTCTGAAACTGACTTACGGTTTTAAGTGAGTCATGGTAACTATTTAACTTTATCTTTTTAATAATAATAACCATAGCCAGCACTTACTGTGTTCTTACAGTGTGCCAAGCATCATGTTAAGTAGTTTACATATTTTATGGCATTTACTCCTCACAATAATCCTATGAAGAAGGTGTAAGTGGAGATTGAATGATTATTTAACCCACCCACAGCTCAAAGCTCACTGACTACAAGGCCCATGCTCTTACTTCAGTTTTATTATACTCCCTCCCCAAAGTCAAATTATAAAATTATCAAACAAAAGGGGAGGAATTCTAATAATCCTGTAAGTAAACCCCAGGATTCAGGGAGAGATTACATGGAGCCAAGGGTAGAGAAGAAGAGAGGAAGTGAGAATTTACGTAACTGGGGTAGGTTCAGCTGAACTGAAATTAGAAGTGGGGTTGAAATTTCACTTGACTGCCACTTCTTCACTCACTCCTTTCCTTCAGATAGACAAGATATGTAAAACACAATGCCAGGCACACATTAGGAGTTCAACAGAAACTAACTTTCCAACCTCCCTTCCTCCCTTTTACATACTACAACAGTTGGGCCAATTGGAGCCCAGTTCCTTGACAGACTGCTACTACAACCTACAAATTGATTTTGGATGATAATAGAGACATTCTCTGTCAGGAAATTATGTTGAAATCCATGAAAGTAGCCTTCCTTAATAATGTGATCAATTACCAGATTGTCTTCTTTGTGTTCAAGTAGAGGCATAGTTGTGCAAGAATGGTACCTTTCGTTAAATGCACCCTACTCTGTCCTCTTTTTCTTGCTATTGCCTGCATTGTGGTCTGTGCAGTGCTTTTAACTTCTTACCAGACAATATACAGAGGTGGGGAAATGGACATTATCTGAGTTTTATTACTACAAAAGGTTTGCTAGGTTGTTAAATTAGCTGAAACAAGTATAAGTTATTTGCAGTCTGCAATTACCCCTTCTGTCCCTGTGTTCATAACCAGGGACATTAGGGGTTGGTTATGATATAATAATTACATTAAAGTATGGCCTAATACATTTGAAATACATATTTAATGATATTTTAATCCAGCAATTAACTGACCAGGATAGTGAGATTTTGCCAATATTATTCTATACCAATTTAGATTCAATAATGAAAAGAGTAATGTTCAGTTTTATATTTTGAATGTTATTAGCCCAGTTAGTAGTTTTCTGTAATTCTAAAATTTCCTACTGCTACAGGTAGTAATGTACAATATAAAATTTGATAACTTTTCTTATTATAAAATACCTAAAAAAGCAATGTGAAATTTTTCCCTAAGAGTCTGAGAAAGTTAAATAATCACAGATGAATTCAAATACTATTTTTTGAAATTGCTAGTATGGTATATCTTCAAGATGTCCAATTAGATGTGTGTGTTTGTGTGTTTCTAGTTTGCTCATTTTTTTTAAAAGTACATTTTCTTATTTGAAATGAAACTGGAAGTTTTATGTCCTTTTTCACGTTGCTATATTCTTTATTATAAGTGGCTTTTAAGCTTTTCTAATCAACCTACTTCTGTGGCTGAGAAACTGTGGCTGCCAGGTAGGAAGAAGAAAAAATCATGAACATCCAAGCAAAGCAGACTGAGTCCTATTGCATGTCTTCCCTGCCAGTGAAGATCCAACTCCTCAAAGGCTGCTGGAATCTCCCAAGATTTTTTCCACTTCATCTGCCACTACATTCCTCTCTGGGAGATACCTCGGCATAGTTTGAACCAACAGCTCTGCCCTCATGATGCACTTTTAACACTTTTTTTTTTTTTAGCTGATGAGACTACTTATAGTTATTAAATCTATCTGGGCATATTCCTAATGAATCTGTTAAAATTTCATGTCAATGCTGTTTTTGGTGTGTAAGTGTTATAAAGATTCTATCCATACTAAAAACAGATATTTTCTTCTTAGGAATATCAGTTGAAAAGAGTGGGGTATGTGATGGTTGAATCCAGCATTTGGAAAATTTTCCTTTTATTTTGTGTATATACTAAAACATATTCACTATTATTTTGGAAGGTCTTCTGGAACCTGGTGACTACATTATGGCAAGAAATGGTTCAATAGATGGGGCTATAAATCCTACTGGGAAATAACTGGGTTGGGATAGTCAAGAAGAATATAGACTACAACAAATAGGGTGTTAGACATTGATCAGTGAGAGATGGAAGATGAACACTGTAAACTAGTGTGTTTTGTTACCCCCAAATGGTAAATGGTTGCTGAACAAGAATGCAGGTGATGGCAGAGGGGGTGGGGAGAAGAGAACAAGTTAAAGGACTATTGAGTTATCTCAAAAGGTCATTCTAACTTCATTTATGTAACTCTCAATGGCATCTCCCTTATTCTCTCTTATTCTCACTCTAGTCTCTCATTTTTTACTCTTTCTTCACCCTCTTGTTCCTTCAACCCCAGAACAACAGGCAAGTATTGTTTGAAAGGGAAACCAATGTAATCAGAATGGATGGAGAGTGTGGTGAACCATTAAAACCCAGCTCTCCCTTTCCCTCCCTACCGCCCTGCCCCTGGACTTCAGCAGGAAGGAAGGAGTGGCTCATTGAGTGGAATCAGTACCACAGTATTGGCTAACACTGATGTGCTTTTTCTCTCTCTTTTTTAATTTAATTGTTGTCTTTATTTTTTTAGGTTTTTCTTCTAATTCAGTTTTCTTCTCCTTTCCTTTACCATCCTCATCTCTTCTCACTTGACTATTTCTCTTCCATTCTTCACCTCTTTCACGTTTTTTTTAAATTCTTGCCTATTTTCTTCTGTTCTCCTTTCTCAAAAGAGAAAGTATTTATCTTATAATTCCTTATAACCAAAATATTGAAAACTGAGACCTCAAATGGCAGTATTTGCGGTGCACCTCCTTTCTTATTCCTGTAAACACAAGATGTTGCTGGAATACAGAGATTAAATATGTTAGCATGGTGTTTAACATATTGCTTAATAAATGGTTATGATAATATCCTAAAATAACTCTGTTAGGATTCTAAGAAATTGGTATTCTAAAACAGAGCACATGAATTGTTTTCTTTTGGAAGGGAGAAATATCATGAAGAGACACAACAAAAATTGAAAGAAATAATGCATCATAGTTTTCAGTTACTCATAGTAATATTTTATTTCAGGTTCTACCTTATGTAGTATGTCATTTATGAGATGGTGGTAGATTTTTTTCTTTTATTTTACCTTGAATATCATGGATTTGATGAGATGTGTGGAAACTGGTTTTGAATTGCCACATA